ATCTTATAACACTGTCAAATTGAATTGCCATACATGTTGTTTTTACATGGGGTAACCTCCCTGTATGTTTCTTATAACACTGTCATTCTGTGTTTGTGCAGCATCCTTAAGTAAGTTATTACAGCGTAAAAGTGATTTCAGAGTTAGAAAGAAGATAACAAAACCCTTCTTTTCTTCTGTGATTCCCCCTTTATATATTTTCACTTTGAAATCTCACCATGTCTCATGCGAACATCACAGCCATAAGTCTTTATAATGAATTAATTATTCACATTCATATAATCTCACATTGTCTTTAGCACAGCCAAGCAATCAAACTGAAATTTTCCCTTTTTTTTCTTCACCGCCATTGGCCTGTTTACTCTAAAAACATGTCCTTCAAGCATCTCCTTCCTAGAATCGAGGAGTTAAGCCGTAGAAAAGCGAGCTGTCGTTTATCGCTGCCTCGCAGACAAATCCACTCTAAATGGCCGGTGATTCTCACTCATTGGCTCAATAATCCATTTGAGAATTAACTCAGGGACTTAGACACATTGTTGAGGTTGGGTTTTTTGTTATTTTTTATTTTTTGTCCTTTTGAACAGATTCCTCTCTATACCCGCTTCAACTTGAAGGGGACTTGCTTAAACTACACAGAAAATGGAAATGAATGCACATACACAAGCATTCAGATCTATGTAGTAGGGCTACTCTGTGTACTGTGTTCAGTATAATAACTCAGATGGCTGCATGGTTTTAGATGTCCTTGCTGAATAAAAGGCCAGAACTCAGAGAGGGAGACCTGGGTCACGCATGGATTGATCTTCCTCCAGTTGTTTCTCCTTATTTAATCCCTTCCTCTGCCCTTGCCTGTGCATGGATCCATACAAACACTTGGCTCAGGCCGCACCAATATTCGACATCTCTACTCTTCTTCCGCCACCTTGCTCCTTTACCCTGATGCCTTCACTGTCCACCCCTCCTGCCCGCTGTCCCTTCTCCCATAGTGCACTGTGGTAATTGAGTGAGAGCTGTGGCCCTGGAGTCCTTGTGTAATCCACACTTTATAAGCACTCTAATTGAAGTGCAAATTCAATACTCCCTCATCAGCCTTTTACTGGCTGTGCCTTTGCCTGCACCCCTTAGGTAATTACAAAGAGACTGGCAGTTCAATCATTTTGCGGAAAATAATGTAACAAAAACATAGCAGCATACGCCAAATCATTTTACTGTGGCTGCGTAGGGAGTGTGATGGTCGTGTTACTGGAGGTGAAATACTGGAAGAGACAAAACACCATCCTCTCTGTCCAAGGAAATGTAACACAATAAAACCTGTGAGAAGAAAGGTAGACCTAGGTAGACCTTACCTGAATACAACATGTGATTACTGTACTCTCACATTTCCCTCCACTTGTATTGGTTTGCCTGTAGACACGTGTACACATGGATGCAGGCACGAAAGCAAGCATGTGCATGTAGATACTCACAATTCCATCTTTTATATAGTTGTAGCTATAGGCAGACACGTACATGGTGACATATAAAGGCGAGTGCACAAACACACACACAAACACATATAATTGGTATGTATTGGTTTGCCTATACTACTGTGTGTGTCTGTGTGTGGGAGTGCAGTTTGTAGCTTTAATTAAACTTCCTCTATTTTCTCTCAGCTTGTCCCCATAGGGCCCTGTCTTCTTCCCGACCACATGCTTATTTATTTATAATTGCATTAAAGAGCTCCAGAGCTGAGCCACGGTTGAACGCAGTGCCAGACCTGTGGAGTAAACTGGGATTGTCACACAGTAATACAATTTCATGTACTGCAACATCCCACCAGCTGGGAAAATTCCACATTATGAATCATGTAGGGATGCTCTGTACATTAAACAACAACAAGCTGAAAAAAAAAGTTTGGATAGTTATTCCCAGTGCCAGAGTAGCAATACAGAATGTCAACACAGATGTATATAATTCAAAATTGTGGGAACATGGACTGTTTCATACAACAAAGAAGCAGATTATACCTGTGGCAAGATCTTATGAATATCATCCCTGCAGCATTGTGTTTCTCAAGAGATCAAACATTCCTGAGAAGAAAACAATCCAGGTGTCATAACAACTTTTCTCTTCTTCCCTTTATTCAGTTGCCAGATTCCTCTTCATTTTTTTGTTTATCTTTTCTAATTTGCTTTGCTTTAAACTAAATATCCCACCAGACAACCTTTTGGATGAGCATCACAGCCGATTCGTAGTGTATCCCAAGTGCTTTTGTTGAAGTTGGATGGGTGTGATTTAAATCTTCAAAAGAGAAAATCATGTTACGATACCCTTATAGCATTGTGAAATTGCCAAGATACCCTGCATGGGCAGCTACCCACATGTGGTGGCTTAATATCTGCAACACTGCCTACTTACATCTGCAACATAAAGAAGGCTGCAAACCATTCTTTTCATAGCAAATTCAAATTCTGGCATCAAGATCATAATCATATTATAGCACATCTTTTCATGCCATATC